CACAGACGATCCAGTGGGCCAGGCTGGCTGCAGGACCCTGCAGGGGGAGGAGCCTGGGACAGCCTGCTGGGTCTCTCTGGCCGTGAACATAACGCTCTTTACATTATTGAATGATTAGAGAGCAGAGAAGTAATATCCTGACGGGGACTCTCTGTGAAACTCTCTCTCCGCACGGCCCCTGTGCACGAGCACTGAGGGCCTCGGACGGAGGATGTGACCAGGCCTTCTGGGCACAGAGACCACCACGTTCCCTCTGCTCGAGAGAGACCCAGGCCAGGTGGGGCAGCAGGGAGCGGGCCAGGCCTCCACCTCCAGCTCAGGAGCACGGCCCAGACAACCAACCCAGGGACTCGGCGAATGGCTGGCACCAACGGGGTCCTCACAGCGGGCAGCCCACGGTCACAGCCCAGGCCAGAACAGTGGCCTTCACGGGACGAGCAGCCCCCAGCGAGGTCTGCTTGTGAGCAGCTCAGCCCCATTCCTGGTCCTGTGAGACCCTAACTGGGGCCGCTCACTGCCAGCCACACGCAGCCTCCTCAGATCCACCCTGGTCCAGCCCACACCCAGTTCTCTCACACACCCACGTGGCTGCCAGGCTCCGCCCCAAGGCCTGGGCGGACTTCTCACTCTGGCTCCTCTGTGGACCCTGACCAGGGCCTCAGGACCCCTACCCCCCAGACGGCCCCTACCACGGCCGCCCCAACCCCACCAGGGAGAAGCGCAAACACTGGGAAATCGGGGTTCCTCAGCCTCATTTTCACTACTGTCCCCCTGGGACCCTCCCCGAGTGACACTGTAATGCCCCAGGTGTGTGCTTGCGTGTTTTCACAGGACAGGTACAACTGTGCTCTACCTGTAAACACGTCGGCACCACCAACGATCTGATTTTCACATCAAGGGTTCAGACTGCATTGGTTAAATAAAATACATTATAGGGCCGGAGATTTAGCTCAGTGGTCCCGCTGCCTGCCTGGCAAGCGCAAGGACCTGAGTTCGATCCCCGGTACCAAAAAATAAATAAATAAGTAAATAAACAAGTAAATAAAAATATACATTATTCAAATCAATATTATACATTCTTACTTTTTTAATACGACCACTAGAATTTTTTTTGTTACCAGGAATCGAACTCAGCTCCTCACACTTGCCAAGCAGGCCCGGTGCCACTGAGCTACATACCTGGCCCTAGAATTGTTTTCTTTTTTTGTCAGTGCTAGGAATTGAGCCCAGGCCCTCACACATGCTAGTCAAGTATTCTACCACTGAGCTACATCCCTGGCCCCTTTTTATTTGTTTTTTAATTTTCCAAAAGGGTCTAAGTTGCTCAGTTGGCCTCAAACTTATAATCCTCCTGCTTCAGCATACCGGTGTAAGTCACACAACTTGGCCCCCAAATTTTTAAAGACAGATCCAGTCACGTTATATTTCTATTTGGCAGCACTGATACGAATAAGGAACAAGCACACAGGTGACCTATATGGACATATACATCACACAGACACAGTGTGTGTGCACATTGACACATATACTCCTGTTCCCAGGTGTGACACCGAGAGGGCCTGGAACTGGGAATACCCCAGGAGCCCTGAGCACCCCTCACCCGACCCTGGCTTCCAAACTCCCCCCTCCACTACCGATCCCGGGAAGAGCCTGCAACATCTCCTGCCAGAAGTCAGCAAGGGCCAGGGAGGGGCAGAAGGCGGCCAGGGAGGACAGCGGGGGGAACTGCCCAGGAGGCGACTGCACCCTAGATGAGTAGACAGTGACAGATCACACCAGTGAAATAAAACAGGAAACAGTCCAAACTGGGAGGGGAAAGAGGGAAAAGAAGGAAGGAGGGAGGGAAGAGGGAAAGAAAGAGAAGAGAGAAGAGAGAAGAGGAAGAGGAAGAGGGAAGGAAAGGGGGAAATCCGACTGACTCAAAGTATCTATCTTTAAGGCACGTGGTAACCGCAAAGGACAACAGAGTAGCGACAAAGTCTGGCTAAATCCATCCTCACCAAGAAATTAAACTCAACATCCCAGCAACGGGCTACATCTAATCCCTGGGCCACCCTGCAGGTGACAGCCCAAATCTGACCACGGGGAGGCACTCGGGTCCCTCCACAACCCCAAAGCGGGGGATGTGCTGCAAAAAAGAGTCCGTGCGCTTCCACACTGTCAAGGTCATAGAAATCAAGAACGGTGGAGAGAGGCTGGAAGGAAACACGGAGCCGCCAACTCAACTGCAAATGGCTCAAGAGAAAGTTATTTGTACGGGAACTTTGCTAGAAGCCTGAGCTGTTTGCAAATTTAAAAAAAAATTCCACCCCAAAAGAAAAGGTTCCTAGTTGCCCTTAGAATAGCCTTCCTTTTGGGGGCCGGGGATTTAGCTCAGTGGTTTCACTGCCTGCTGAGCAGGTGCAAGGACCCGAGTTCGATCCTCGGTACCAAAAAAAAAAGCATAGCCTTCCTTTGTCTCCTCTGCACCCTAGAGCCCCGACATTGTAAACTTTGGCAAGCAGGAACCCTCCTGCCCGCACTCAGCCACCCTCTGTACCCGACAGCCGCACTGCAGTGGCCCGGGTGGCACCTGAGCAGGTGGCCATGGTGTGTACAACAGGACGAGGCTTGCAAAGTGCAGCCCAGGAGGGCTGAGAGAGAAACTGGGAGGCTTCCTGGAGGAGGGACCCTGAGCCACCTCCCCATGAAGAACCCGGCTGGAAGCAGGGAGATCTTCCGGCCAGGGCACTGCATGTGATGGACATGAATGGAAAAGGGACACGGAAGGGGGCAGCCAGGGTGGGCGTGTGAGCCCAGTCTGCTCTGCTGTGCCCTGCACAGGGGCCACTGGCGACCAGTGAGAGGGGACACCTGGGTGACGTGGGCGTGACCCAGCTGGCTGGTCCCCGGAATTGGCCACCACAGGGCAAACGCTGGCTGCTGGCACGGCACCCCAGACACCATGGGCCTTCCTGAGGGTCAGCAGATTGTGGCCACCCTAATCAGCCTAATCAAACCCAGGGTGGCTTGCAGACACTTGGAATAAATTACAGGGCATTCCGCCCACTCCGAAGGGCACAATGAAGTGGGCAGCGGGGGCCTCTCAGTGGCGTCTCCTGGTACCCAGGTCTGCACAAAGCAGCCGCTCAGTGAGAGCACATAATTATGAGGCTGGCTCCCCGAGGCCAATAGCCCGGCTGAGAAAAAGCGGGAGGGGAACTCCAAAGCCTCAGAAAACAGGATGTCCCCGTGGAACCGTGGCATTCTAGCAGGGCACACGAGACAAGGCTGAGAGCTGGAGCAGTCCCTGTGCACCTCCACGGCAAGGAGAAAGGGGCAGCCGGGTGTGCCGGGAAAGGGGCCCCACAGAGCATCCAGACGCCCTCCCGCCCCGGCTGCCCCGAGAAACAGGCAGGAACCACACAGGACCGAGAGTCAGAATGCCAGCAGGGCTTGAGACAGCTCAGGAAGGCTCCTGAGGTCGGGATTTACTTCAACATCCCAGGAGCTCCTCTGTTAGCTCTGCCACTTACTACCAGGGTGACCTGGGGCGAGTCACTCAGATTGTCCCATCTATGAATCGGGGCGGCACCCTCTCCAGGATCTTGTGGCATCCGGGCAGCACAGGTGAGAGGGCAGCTGTGTTTTCCTTGCGACCCACCCTCCGTGGACAGAGATGACATCTGACACCTTCCCTCCATCCAGAAGAAAGGTGGGTTTCCCACACAGCCAAGGGCAGCCAGCTAGGCAGGAGTGAGGTTCGGCGGCAACTTCTAGCCCCAGGACTGCGCGCAGCCTCCCCCAACAGCCGGGTCCCCTCCCCCTGCCACACAAACCCCCGCTGGGAGGGGCAGCCAGAGAACTCGGCGCCTCCAGGCCAGGCTGGGCCCCTCCCGACCTCCGCCCACCCTGGCCTCTGCCGGCCTCACCCTCTTGGCGGTCAATGCCCAGCTGTGCAATGGGCAGCGCCCTGGCCCAGCCATAGCGGGTGTCTCTTCAGCTCTGTGGCCAGACCAGAGGGGCAAGCACAGCGCAGCATCACTTTGGCCCCACGCGTCCCTGAGGCTGGGCATGCAGGAGCTGAGATCCCTCTCCCAGAGTCCCGGAATATCACCCCCGCACGGCGCCTCTCCCCTCCCCGCAGGGCTCGCCTTTGTCATCCACCCTGGAGCAGGGCCCTAGCCGCCCAGGAGGGTAGACACCAACAAGGGCAGAGGCCAGCGCCGCTGGACTGCAGGATCCAGGGTGACTCACTTCACTCCCGAGTTCACAAGAATGGCCGCTGTCCACTCAGGCTTGCCCTGGCCTCCGGTACAGGGACCCCCCTAGCCAGCAGGCCGGGGCTGGGGCTGACCCCCCTTTGCCTCCCGGGACCCCTTCAAAGGGCGCTGGGCAGGAGCCCACAAACCCCGATCCTGCTCAACTCTCATTCAAGTTCCCTTTAAGGGGCCAAGAAAAGCAGCTGCGGCCAGCGGAGCGGACATCTTCCTCCCTGGCCCTGCGGCCACCCGCGTGCCCCTGCCGCGACAAAGGCCACACTTAAGGACGCGCCGGGGACTCCCCAAGGGGGCGGCCTGCCCCCAGTCCTGGTCAGGAGAGGCGAGCCAAGACTGGGGGGGCGCCCTGCTCCCCCAGCACCCCTGGCCGGAGGGCCCCGCCCCGCCCGCCCCCTTCCGCGGGCCCTGGGATGGGCGCTGTGCGCGGGCCGCTTGGTTCCTGCAGTCCCCGGCCACCGGGCGCGAAGCCCGTGGACACCGCCGCGGCAGGCTCCCGGGGGCGCCGAGAACACTGACGGGGCCGTTTACCCCGGCCCAGAAGAGGGCGCGGTGCCCAGCGCGCTCGGGGCCGGAGTCTCTGTCCACGCCTGGAGGCGCAGGCCGGGAAACCGGCGCGCTCCGGGCCCGGGGGACTTTGGCCAACTTCGCGCCCCCTGCGTCGCCACTCGAGGAGCCGGCCGGAGGCCACGCGCCCCCGGCCGCCCGCGAGTCCCCTGCCAGCCCCCGGGCGCAGGCCCTCACCTGGGACATCTGCGGCCGGAAGTTGATGTCCTTGAGGTCGATGGAGCCAGGGGACAGGTTGTGCAGCAGCTGGCACAGCAGGACTCCGTCGCGCAGCGCCTGCGCCAGATCGAAGACCACCGCCGAGGGCCACACGACCCGGTGGTTGGGCGGCAGGACCTTGCAGTCGATGAGCCAGCGGCCGCACTGCCGCCACTGCTCCATGGCGCGCGGGCGGTGGCTCAGCGCTGCGCTCCGGCCCGACGAGTGCGGCGGCCTCGGGGCATCCCGCCCGCGCGGGGTTCGGCTGGGGCGGGGCGGGGCTTCGCGCGCGCCGGGTCCCCGCTGCGCCGCCGCGCGTCCCTCCTCCCCCTGCTGCTGCTGCTCTGCTCCGCGCCCGCCAGGCCGCGGCTCCTGCCCACGTGCGGCCGCCGGGTCGCCCTTCACGCGCGCGAGTCCGCGCGGGCCCCGGGCCGGGCTCCACGCAGCCCGTCGCCCCAGCGCTCTCCGGCTCGCCCGGCCGCGTGCCACATTCTGCGCCCCGGGGCCCCTCGGGCGCTCCCGCCCCGCCCCGGCCGAGACAAAGGCCGCGGGTGGCCTCGCTCGTCCGCTTTGTTCAGCGGCCCGCAGCTCTGCTCCGCGCTCCGACTCCACTGCTCTGCGGCTCCCGGGCCGCGGGGGGCGCGGGGGGGCGCGGCCACAGCTGGGCGGGGCGGGGGCGGGGTCCCCGATCTCCTGGTCCCGCCCCGCAACCCAGGCCCCGCCCCTCCCCCCACTTCCTGCCCCGCGCCGCCCGCCAAAATTGGGGGGCGGGGCTGCGGGGCGAACCGGCGGGGACTCCGGGCTCTCTCCCGAGAGCTAGCAGACTCAGGGCGCTCTTCGTCGCCAGGCCCAGTCACTGTTCCTGCGCTCCCCACTCACACGGGCCGCCGGACCTCAGGGGAGGCCCTGTCGAGCGGGGCTCCCTCGCGCGGCCCTCCCGGAAGGACAGACCGGAGGGCGCACCCGGCCGGGCCCATCCAGCTGCCTGGCCGGGTAACTCGAGACCCGCGACACGTGGCCCAGGTCCCCCCAGAGCCCCCTTCCGGTCCTCCGCGCTCCCCAGAGCAAGCAGGACCCCCGGCCGGATTCCCTGGTCTCAGTGGGCAGAGCTGGGTCAGAGGCAGAATTTGTCATCTGAGTAAGGGGGAGAGGGACAGGGACCCCACTGCCGTCGGAGAAGAACAGAGACTGTCCTGACCGGTGGGCGACAGCGTTGACAGGCGCATGCCACCCCGGGAGGGGCTGCACGGGACGTAGAACAGCAGCTCCTGTAACCGGCACTTCGCGACCTGGGTTCCGTCCAGGCGCTGGGTTCTCCGCGCGGTCTCGCCAGGTCCCAGCCCTTCCCGCAGGGCGCTCCGCTTCGGGAGAGTGAGCAGGCGGTACCCCGGGCCTGTCGCGGGGGCGCGCGTCTGGCTGCAAGCCCAGAGGGGCGCGCGTCCTGGGGTGGCCTCTGCACTGAGGCGGAAGGAGGGGCCGTCCGGGCGTGGGCAGTGGAGGGGTCCGGCAGGGGCTGGCCAGGTTGAGTGGACCCCTCACAGGTGCAGCGAGAAGATGGGGCCGTGGGCGACCCCCACCGCAAGTATCTCCGGTGAATCTGAGGGGCCAAGGGCAAGGCGAGCTCCAGCCCCAGCTGAGCCTCCGCAGGCACCCGGGACAACACCCGTCCCACCTCCCACCGGAGGCCGGGGCTGGCCTGGCCTGGTCCGGCCCCGCCCCGGGGAAGCCCCTCAGCTGTGTCTCTCCAGCGCCCCAGCCCCGTTGCCGTTGGCCTTCCGGACCCCGGTGTCAGCGCAGGCGCTGCTCTGCTGCCCCCTGGTGGATCTGAGGGTCGAGAGGCCCAGGCTTGAGGGGCTGCCCTGGGTCTTGAGGTAGAATAGAAGAAACACAGGTAGGTAGAAAGGAGGCGAGGAAAATCGGAATTTTAAAATTGTAACTGCAGCTTCAGAACACAAAAGTTACTCAAGCCTTTTTCTCTTCCAGGAAACTCAAAAAGAAATTCCTACGTGTTTTAAAGACACAATAAGCCTGTAAATTGGGCTCTGAGCCTGTGCTTTTTGCCTGTAAATTACACTTTCTCCCCCAGGCCTCCACCACAAGGAAGCAGCGATTCTCAACTTCAGACCAAGGCGCAGGTTTGCATTGTGATGCAGCTGCTGGATGGGCAACCTGACAGCAGGACACGCATCCTGCATCGCCCATCCTGGGGACACCCCAAGCCCAGCTCCTAGTCATAACACTCCTCCCTGTCTCCCCCCCCCCCTCAGGTCCCCACTCTGTTTCACTGAGCACATACTTTAAATTTCTGCCTAATAAATCTCTTTATGTCTTACTGATGAGTCCTGCTCAGTTGGAGTCCAGGAGGCCTCCCTGGTCCCCACTCCTGACATGGATGGGGAGAGAGCCCCTCACCACTCGGGCCTCACAGGGCCCTTGGGAGGCTCCTCGGTGGGACAGATGTGAACAAATGAACAGAGTGGGGCAGAAACCATCCTGAGTGTGTGCTCAGGTGTAATATGCTGACTGAGAATAGCGGGGTGCACTGGCCCAGCCACACACCCCTGCCACAGCCCTGTGCAGGTAGAAGGGGTGACACAGATGCCCCAGAACCACAAGGGAGTTAAGGTCGCCATATCCTCAGCCTCACCAGCACCTGCAGGGTCATCCGAGCCTGTCTTACTCCCCGGGTGTAACCCACCAGCAGGTCCACCTGCCCATTCCCTTTAAATTCTGGCCTCACCCACTGGCCTAGCCTGGCCCATACACCTGGCCCTGCCCACCGAGGGCCAGGGCTTTTGCGTTTGCTATTCTTTTAACCCAGCCAAGGTAACAGCCTGCAGAGGTAGGACTTGAACCCATGTCTCAAAGCAGAGTCATCCTCTGCAATGCGTCCGGCTGAGCAATTTGCTCTGTTTTAGGATGAGATGATGATGCAGTTTCAAGGGCAGCCACACGGGAAATCTGAGTGTATGACAGGCCCAGCTCGGTCCTCCTGGCTTATGCACGGAGCTGCCCTCACTGAGCAGCAGCAGTGAGGGCTGGTTTCAGAGCAGGGACATGGGGCCCCTTTGCACCCGGTGGGCTTAGGAGCTGGCGATGCACACCCAGACCCCCATGGCATCACCTTCATCAGTCCCCCAGAGAACCTCGCAGCCGCACGAGGCCTTCTCCCAGCCCTGGTTTCCCCAGCCAAACCGAAGACTCACTGCTGAGCTCAGGGCCCATGTCCCACAGCCAGTGTCCCTGGTTGGCTGAAGCAGCCATCTGTCCCTCCTCCATTCACCCAGCCATTCCCATCCCTACTTCCTGCACCCTGCTCCTGCCTCTCCATGCCTCCCTCCGTTCCTCTCTCTGTTCATCCCCACATCCACCTCCTTCCAACCATTCAGCCTCCATCCACCCACCCCTGGCACATCCCTCCGTCCATCCTCCATCTAGAAAATATTTCCTGAGCTCCGGCTCCATTCATGGGGAAGGAGAAGAGGCAGTTTCCACTCTCCCCAACATGACTGGGTGAAGGAATTATTCCCACGTCCAAACCCATGAACACACACATTTTGCAAATTCCATTTGGAGCTACATCATGCAAATTCAGCTGTCACAATTTCCTGGGAAATTATAGGTGTAGAAAAAAGACCATCTGGCCCACCATGGAGTCAGAGTGTGCTGGGTGTGGAATCTTTATATTTCCTCTGAAAAGGCAAAATAAAGACTTCTTACTGCAAGTTGCTTCAACTTTCTAAATTAAGTCCAGTGCGGTGGGCCATGGATGGGACCCTAAGTTGTGGTCTTGGCAGCCTTGCTGGGCGTGGTCATGCTTGGACGCCTTCTCATGGCAACTGGAGACAGCTTGGAGGTGCTGGGGGCCTCCCAGAGGCTCTCGTCAAGTCAGGACAGCCCTGGGCTCGGGGTGCTGGGATTAAGGCTGTGGGGAGCTCACTGGGTGGACTCCAGCGACTGCAGAGCCTTCTCACAGCACAACAAGCTCCCTCCATGCAGCAGAGGGGCAGGCCTGGCCCCACTGGGGGTGGCCAAGCCTGCTCAGCTGTACCCATGGGTGACTTTGGACCCTAGTACCATCGACCATACTCCTGGCTGATGCAACTATCACACACTGGCTGCTGGAAGTGGTGGCACTTACGGAAAGGGGGAGCACCACCTCATGGTGTAGGGAGCCCCCCAGGACCCAGGGTGAGCCTGGCTGTGCATCTGAGCCACCCTGACAAATGTCTGGTTCCCCCCTTCAGTGTGGGCTTCTCTGGTTCTTCCCCAGCCACGAACCCCACATGCTAGACCCCATGGCAAGTGCTCCAAACCTGGAGCATCTCTGTCCCCTCACTGTCATCACCCATCCCACCCGCTCTGGCCCTGGCTAATGTGTCCTCTGCCTCTACAAACGCGCCTGTCCTGGACACTTCACATACAGAACTGTGCCAAGTAAGACCTTTTGTGCCTGGCTTCCTGCTCCAGCACAATGCCCAGGTCGCTCCCGCTGTGCCTCCTACCAGGAAGTACTTCATTCCTCTTCAGGACTCACTGACAATTCACTGTGAGCGGAATCAGCTTCAATAGCATACTACTTAATCCAGTGCATCTGAAATATTATCGTTCCAGTGTGTAATAGATGTAGACACTTGTTAAAGAGACATTTTCCATCTTTTTCATGTAGATTTTATACCTCAGCACATTTCAGTGTGAGCTCTAAGTTTCTGTCCAAAGCATTTGATCTGTACTTCGGTTTCATAAAACTCACAGTCTCATGCCCAAGTTGTTTCAAATGTATTTAAAAGCTTACCCAAAATGTAATTGAGCATCACTTTTTATTTTTTTATTTTTTTATTTTTTTTTTGGTACCAGGGACTGAACTCGGGTCCTTGTACTTGCGCAGCAGGTGGTGAAACCACTGAGCTAAATCCTTGGCCCTAGTATCACTTTTTAAATATTCTAGGTGGAGCAGGCGGTCTGCTGGAGCCTGGCCCAGCCGGGAATCGTGTGCCTCTCCTGAAATCCCAGCTTGGCCCCCACCTCCCATGGGCCACCTCCTCATTGCCCTCTGCACCTGGCTTGGAGACCTGTGATGTCCATTGGCTGTGGGCTGACACCCTTCCTGTCCTCCCAACACCCAGAATTGCAGCCAGGATGAGTGCCTGCCTCCACCTAACACCCACTAAATCCATCCATGCACACACCTACCCAATCCATCCTGGAAGCACTTCCGAAGCACCCGCCCTGCACCAGGCCTCAGAAGAGCTGG